GGCCCCACTTCGCGGCCACCCACGGGTGCAGGGCGCGGCGGGCGGGTCGGCGGGCGCGCGGAAGTGCCCGTCGCGGCAGGGGCAGGCGGCGGCGGCGGCGGGCGCGGGCAGCGTGTGCGCCGGGCAGGGCTCGCAGGCGCCGTCCGACGCCTCCGCCTTGAACGTGCCGGGCGGACACGCTGCGGAGGGGACACCCTGTCAGCGCTAAACCTGGAGGGGGTCCTTCCTCCCGCTCCCTGCCGCGGGGCCGTTATCCCGGGAAAAGGGGCCAGTGCATCCCAGATTGGCCTGGGAGGGGCAGGGATGCAGGGGGGGCGGTTGCTGGAGCAGGGATTATCCCCCCCCCCATTATCCGGCATTCCCTGCATAAAGATAAAACTACCCAGAGGCATCTCTTGTCCCCAGCTGAGCCCTGCCGCACTCAGCGCGCTTGTACTCAGGGAGTGCCCCAAACGTGTCCGATTTTGTGCCCAAAATGCCCGGGTGCAGCTGGAATTCATCTCTCCTCTCCCCACAAGAATATCCCCTCATTTCCCCCCCCCAGAACATCCCCTTTTCCCCCTCCCCAGAACACCCCCTCTTCTTTCCTCGCCCCCCCGGGCAAGCGCCAAGGCGAGCAGCGCGTGACGTGTCCCGAGCTGCGCCCCGGCCTCAGCCCCGGCCGCGTCGTCCTCACCCTGGCAGCTCTCGTTGGCGCCGCGCTGGTAGCCGGCGCGGCAGAGGCAGCGCCCGATGGGCACGAGCCACTCGCCGTCGGCGTTGCAGTGCAGCACGGGCGGCGCGGCCGCGGCGGCGCCCTCCACGCAGGCGCCGCGCACCTCGGCCAGCGCGGGCGCCTCGCCGCCCGCCACCGTCTCCGGGAAGGCGGCCAGGCCGCGCACCACGGCCGGGCACTTCTTGTAGTAGACGCGCACGGAGAGCAGGGCCACGCAGGCGCCCAGGTCCTGGAAGGCCAGGTAGAAGCCCTTGCGGCTGAGCGGCCCCACGGCGCGCACCTCGGTGTTGAGGCGCACGTGGCGCGCGGCGAAGTCGGCGCGCGCCGTGATCTCGTCGGGCGCGATGGTGTCGATCTTCTTGAAGAGGCGCTTCTGGAAGTTGGTGCCGTAGTCGACGTCGGACTCGGCGTAGTAGAGGTTGAAGGTCTCCTTGCAGGCGCCGGCGCCGGGGAAGCTGTTGCAGTCGCGCACGGTGAAGCGCAGCTCCACGAAGAGGCGGCGCGCGGCGCCGCGGTAGATCCAGTTGGTGCGCAGCCAGTTCTCCTGCTCGCCCTCCAGCACGTTGCACACCGCGTACAGGTAGATGAGCGAGTCGTTCATGACGTTCTGCAGCAGGTCCCACTGCCGCCGAGGGAGAGGAAGGGCGATGAGGAGGCGCCGTCTCGGGGCTGCCCGGCGCCGCCGCCCGCCCCGTGCCCACTTACCCCTTTGCCGTAGGGGTGCGTGAGCCAGCCCAGCTCACCCTGCGCCTTGGCGAAGTCCAGCAGCACCACTGAGGGGGGGACACGGCAGTGGGATCAGTGCCCAGCCCGGAATATTGCTGCCCCCAGGACCCCCGGTGCCCCGGCGGTCAATGCCCCGCAGGGAATTTTTTCCACCCGGTTCCCATCCCGGTTTCCTGCAGTTAATGACCTTTTTCCCCCACCTCGGTGGTTTTATGTCCCCCCCGCCTCGCCCCAAGCTGCCCTCCTGTCGGAAAAGGGAAGCAGAGGCCGGAGGGAGCGGGAGGAAGGGGAGCGCACGGAAGCTGCCGGCCCGGCGTGATTCAGGCGCCAGGAATGCGCCCGGTGTGCGCGCCGAGGCGCCTGGACGCCTGGGCTCGCCGCGCCCGGCGCCGCCGCGGCAGGGATAGGGGCTGAGCACGGAATGGGGATACGGACAGAGCAGGGGCTGGGGGTTCAGGGAGCGGAGGGATAACAGGAGCCGGCGGCAGTGGCTGGGAGCGGGGCAGCTCGCGCCGTGCCCTGCGCGGACAGGGCAAAGTCGAAGGCTCCGCACAGGGAACCGCAACCCCCACTCCTGATAAAACAGCGGCCAGGAAGGACGTTGCCGGCGGATATCCCGGCCTTCCCACTCCATGGAAATCCCCCTCTCCCCTTTGAACGGAAAAGAAAAAAGCTCTAAAAGACTCCCATCAGGATCCGTGTTTCCGCCGCGCTGGGGGAGCCGCAGCGTGCAGCGAGCTGGGGGGTTCTCAGCAGGGCTGCGCCCCGTGGCGCGCGGCCGGGGCAGAGCGGGGCACGAGGCCAGGCCGTGCCCAGCACTGAGTTAGCGCCGGGACAGCGGGGCCCAAACCCGCGGCCGCGGGAAGCTTCCCGAGTGACACTAACACCAATAATAATTAATACTAATAGCCATCATCAGCCCGGACCTGGCTGCGTTGTGCTGGCGCTGCAGAATTTATAAATAGCGGGGTGGCTTTTTGGGGGTTCCCTCTGGTTTTTGTTTTTTCTTTGCCCCCCAACCCCTTTTTACTCTTTCCGGGAATGCCACAAATTGCAACCCCGCTCCCTGCCCCGCTCCAAATTCCTCCGTGCCAGAGCTCCACCGAAACTGCGGCCCCCCCTTCCCAAAACCCCCGGCGGCAAATTCAGCCCCGATGCGGGGATTTATCCTCCCGCCTCCTCCGCGTTTTTCCCCGGGTTAAAAAAGCAACTGGTTATTTTTCTTCTCCCTCTTTTTTTTTTTTTTTTTTTTCCCTTTCCAAAACACCCACCAGCCTCCCGGTTATTTGCATTCGCTGCGGTCGCAGCCGGATTCTTTCATCCTTCCCTTCGCAGCAGGCAGATTTCAGGCTGAGGCGCTTTAAAATCCCGGGATTTGCACCCCCAGATCCCGCTTATCTTTTTGCAAAGTGAGGCGGGAAGGGCGGGAGGGGGGTCAGGTTTTTAACGCCACCCCCTAAAACCCATCATTTTGCCCCAAACCCGGGCGGGTTTGGCTGCGAAAGGGCTGCCGGGGAAGGGGCCGCGGAGGTGGGCAACGCAAGGTGGAGGCAGTTTGTTTTTCCCAGCTTTCCTGACATTGTTCTCCATATTCCTGGCCCGGATCGCTGGGAACTCCAAAGCACTTCACCACCTTTTTAAATTATTATTTTCTAGGGGTGGTTTCGGTGCCTTTTCCCCCCTGGTTTCGAGGAACACGGCTCCGCTCCCGGAGCAGACGATCAGGATCCGGCCCCCGGTGAAAGTGCATGGCGGGGGGGGGGAAACCACTCACCCCCCCACACACACACCCCAAAAGAAGGGGACAAGCCCCGAATTAACCCTCCCCCGTTGCCAAATCCCCGCAGAGCCCCCAAGGCTCAGAGCTCCCTCCAACTTTCGATGCGACACCCGGAAACCTCCGCAAAGCCCCGCACTTTCGTAACGCGCCGCGTTTCCCTTCGCGAACCCCGAAAACTGCCGCGGGAGCCGCGCCGAAAACTTCTGCAAACTCCCCGAACATTTGCAAACGCCCCCGAAACGGCCGCCAAGCCCCCGAAACTTTTGCAAAGTCCCCGAAACTTTTGCAAAGCCCCGGAAAGTTTGCAGAAAAAAAATAGCCCCGATCGGAGCCCGATCGCGCGTGGGCCTCCCCGGCACCGCCGCTCTCCCCACGGGGGCCGGGGCGCCCCGTCCCGGATTAAACCCCGTTTTTCCCTCCTCGTTCCCCCTCTCCAAACCCAGCCCCCCACCCCGTCCAGTCCCCCTCTCACCTTCCTGGGCGCCGTGGGCAGCGGGGCAGCGCAGGAGGAGGATGAGGAGCGGCGGGAGGAAGGCGGGCGCGCGGGCCATGGCGGGGGGCGGCCGGGGCGCCCCGGGAGCGGCGCGGGGCGGCGGGGACGGCGAGCGGGGCCGGCGGGCGCTGCTCATTCAGCGCCGGGCTGATGTCACGGCCCCTCCCGGGAGGAAGGCTCATGCCGCGCCTTTAAAGAGCAGGGGCCGCCCTCCCCCGTCGGGGCGCGCGCCGCGTGGGTCCCCCMCGCCGKGTCACCCTGTCCCCCCCCCCCTCTGCCCCCGCCACACACATCGCCCCTCACACCCCCCCGCGTGGCCCGGCCTCACCTTCCTCTTCCTCACCACCCCCTCCTCGCGCCCCTTCCCTCCCTCAGTCCCGGTGCTCGGTTGGACGGATCCCAGGCCCCGGGATGGGGGAGCCCCCGAGTGGGATCCACGCCCCGACCCTTCCCTGGCCGGTCCTGGCTCCCCGGTCTGCTCCATGCCGGCTCTGGGAAGCGGGATCCCCCCGTCCCACCCGGCCCGCGGGGGGGTCCGGGCGCCTGCTGGGCAGGGAAGGGTTAAACGAGCCGGGGGGGGGCGGGGGGGAGGAGCCCCCTCCTCTTTCATTCATAAATTGGGGGCGCGGGAAGCGCCGCGGCCGGGCAGCCAATAGGGTGCGAGGGGGCGGGGCCGCCCAGGTACCCCCCGGACCCCCCAGTGAGGCTCTGGGAGGGGGAGGGGCGGCCCAGCGCTGTCTGTGTGTCCCCCCCCCCGCCCCGTCCATCCATCCTGTCCATCCATCCTCCCGCCCATGAATCCGTCCATCCCCCGTCCAGCCGGCTGCTCCTCCGCGCGCGGCCATCCCGCCGTCCACCCGCTCTCCTGCCCATCCCAATATCCCTGCATCCGCCCGCCCATCCGTCCATGCATCCCTCTGGCCGCACAGCCGTCCATCCACTCCTCCATCCCCCTGTCATTCCCTCTACCCCTGCATCTCCCATCCCGCTGCCCATCCGTCCGGCCTTCCCTCCACCTGTCCATGCATCCATGCCTCTGCCCACACCCCCATCCCATCCCCCTGTTTACCCCTCTGTCTGTCTGTCCATCCCCAACATCCCCCCCGGCCCCCCTCCCGCGCCAGGGAGGCACCCATAAAGATAAGGGAGACAGGAGCAGGGAGGGGAACATCAAAGTGCGGGAGGAGGAGGAGGAGGAGGAGGAAGGGGTGCCGGCTCTGGGAAGGCGGCGCGGTGCCCGGGCTTGCCCCTCGCCCGGATGTGACTCAGCAGAGGCCGCGGCAGCTCATCACAGCCATGGAATGCGGGGTGGGGGGGGAACAAAAGGCCTTTGTCAGAGATGCCGCCCAGGAGCAGCGGGAACCCCGCCGCGCTCCTGAAGCCGCCTGGCTAAGTGCTGAGGCCCGGTGAGCTCAGTGCATGTCCTGCGGTGCCAGCTCTGACCCACCCCCAGCCCGGAACGGAGGAAGCCGGGCCGGGAAACGGCCTCTCCGGGCTCAAAATATTCCCGCGTGGCTCCAGAGCCGTCCCGGGATGCTGGAACCGACTTGGGAGCCCCCGCTTTGTCCCTGCGACGCTGCAGGATCCCCCACACCAGCTCCCCAGGGTGTCCTGGACCCCCCGGGCTGCCCACGGGGGTCCCCAGGCTGGCCCCCATTCACCTGCTGGGTCCCCAGCGTCCCGCCCCGGGGCACACCAGGGTGCCCATGACATCCCCAAGCCCCCCGGGGCCACTCGCCAGGGTCCCCGCTCCCCCTGGCCCCGTGCCGGGCTCCCCATGGTGTCTGCAGTCCCCCTGGGCCTGCTCCGGTGTCCCCAGGGCTCTTGTTGGGGTCCCCGGTGTCCCCATCTCTGCCAGCAATAAGAGACAAGCAGGGACACCCAGGCTGGAAAAGCAGCGGCCCTTTACTGGTCGTTGGAGGCCGGAGGCCCCGGCGAGGGGCTCCCGGCGGCCTCGTGCTCGCCGGGGAGGAGGCCGGCAGCCGCCTGGTCGCGGCGCCAGAGCCGCTCGACCAGGGCGTCGAGCAGCGGGGCCACCTCGGCCAGCTGGGCGCGGGCCCCGGCGCGC